ATTCTCCTGTTTACTGCCTCCCAAGTGCTGGGATTACAGGCACACGCCACCACGCCCAACCTCAATCACCATCTAAGCACACCCCAGGGGCAGGGCTGGCACAGCAGGCCCCGGGGATCAAACCCCCAGCCCCTGCGCCTGCTTGCAGGTGCCTTAACCCTCCAAGCTATTTGGCCAGCCCTCAGATGTTTAAATATCCTAAGTATAGCACAGGGAATGAAGTTTGATACCAATAATAATTCCAACTAAAGTCTATATCAAAACAATTGTCTGTGTCTGATTGTGACTCTGGCAAAATATTTTATAAAATCTTTTAAATTTTTAGTTTTTGTTAAATCCAACCTTATCTTCTTTTTCAGAGAGGTTGATATGGACTTGGAAACAATATGTACCTAAAATTATGAAAATTATGCTTTTGGCACATAATTGTGCTTCTCTGAAGTACTTCACATTTTGCTTTCTATTGTATTTATGTGCATTCTATAACCTCAACTAGATTGTAAATGATCTACAAGTAAGATATGACCTATTTTATAATTATATTATCCAGTATGTATTAGCTGATACTTTAAACATGGTATGTTTCAATAAATATTGGTAGGTTATGGAATTATTCAATAATCATATAAAAATTATTTAAAATTAATATAAAAAGCCAGACATAGTTGTGCATGCCTATAATCCCAGCATTTTGGAGGCTGAGGCAGGAGAATCACTGCAAGTTGAAGGCCATCTAAGCTGCATAATGAGTTCCAGGCCAGCCTGAACTATACAGGGAGACTGTCTCAAAACACGAAAGAAAGAAAGAAAGAAAGAAAGAAAGAAAGAAAGAAAGAAAGAAAGAAAGAAAGAAAGAAAGAAAGAAAGAAAGAAAGATTAACAGTGAAAAGAGGTTATTTATTCTTAATCATATTGTAGTGAAGACTATTTTAAACTCTATGCAGTGATGATACACACAAATATTTAAACTATTTATGTGCCTCAACTTGACATAATTTCATGATAACTTGATGGCAATCACATTTAAATATATTAGAATATTTTTGTAATAATGCTATTCTAGAATAGCAACTTTAATAGCTGGGAAAACATATTAATAATGGCCATTAAGCTGAAGGAAATAGGGAACATTAAACATTTTTTCAGAAATAAATATATAAGTTTAAACATCCCACTTTAATAATTATGAGCAAACCACAAATTAAAATTTATAAAATGCAAACTATCGAATGTTTCAGTTAGAGAATAATTTAGAGTATACTGTACTTGGTAATTTTCCCATGTACACATGGATGAATACTGCATAAAAAGATTATTTTCTCCTTTAGTGTCTTTGAATATTACTATCTAAATATCAAAATGAATTCGGCTTGACTATAGGACCAGCAAAAGCCATTGATTACCTGTCAATATGTCACAACTACTGAACACAAGTAAGTGATCTTTCTTACCTTCAGGACAGCAATGAAAGGTACAAAGTTAGCCCTTTGGAGTCCATTCTTATAGAGGTCTGAAAGAAAAGTTTATTAGCTGTTTATGTAGCTTAAATCATGATAGCAGTTTGTCTCTTAGTCTGGCAAATAAAGCTTCCTACTGATTAAAACAGAAAAGAGCCACATAAAATTCACTATACTTTTAATAAGAAAAAAATGATGACTCATAGCTCAAATTAGCTTTAAACAATCATAAGATGCAGTGAAAACATTTGCAAGCTATCACTCCCAAAATTTAAATCAACACACCAATAGAAGAAGATGATATAGTTAAAAGAACCTAATACATGAATATATAGAATTCTATCGGGAAAAGAATCATACGCTTCTTTACTCAGTCTGTAAGTTTTCAGGAAAGAAGTAAAAATGGCATAATATGATTAGTCTTTTAGAAAACATACAGTATAATACAACAGCTCCTGCATTTGTATTAAGATATATATATATATATATATATATATATATATATATATAGCATTACTGTAGAGAAATACCACTTTAAGTGAACTTGCTGAAAATTATAACTATTCTTAACAGAACTATAAGTACACTAAAACTATATCACATAGAAGAGGCATTATTTACTTAGAAAAGGGCTTTAATATATGTACATGTCATAGTCAATGATGTTTACTACACATAAATATATTTATTGCAAAGAATAAGCAAGCCCAATGGGGCAAATGTTGAGCTCTGGCTACTCTTCTTCTTTGGAAAATGTTTAAGAATTTGAAATGACATTCCATAAAAACATTTGTTTAAACACTCTATGGGTTATTTGATTTTCAAAAAATTATAAAACTGGAACAGTAAAGTTTTCTCAATAATAAAAATATTGTGTCTCATCCCTTTTTAGTATGGTATAATGGGATCTTTTCTATATTTCCTTGTTTACAGAATATTTCATAAGTGTGATAGATTTCAACTGCTACATATACTTATGGAAATAAAATATCATTAGAAAACATTTATTCTCTTTAGAAAAATAGTCATGATAACATCATTACAGTGAAGAAAGCATTTGCATAAGCTCTTTGGTTAATTAAGGTACTAGGGCTTCAACTCCATTACATTTAAATTTTTTATTTAGGGATATTATAAAAGGTAAGATAATGCTGGCCAGGTTGTTAGAGTTTCAAAATTCAAACTGAATTTTTTTCCTTCTTATAATTAATATCTCTAATGAGTAAAATGGACAAAATGCAGGAAACAGGTTTCAAGTTAAGTATTTCCATATTTACCCTACTTACCACAAGTCACCAGGAAAGGTGCATAAAAACATGTCTTATAAATGTTGATAGGCATGATTGACAGGATGTGGTAAGAATTGAAAATAAAACAATTTTAAACACATTCCATTTTTTAGCAGCTGTACTTATAATAACTAAACACTTCAGCTTTCTTTGTAATATCTGAAACTGGAAGCAATCCAAACGCTTCCCACTTGGGTAACAAATCACAGTATATTCGTGCACAGAAACACTATTCAGCAATGAAAAAGGGTAAACTAGGCAAACGACAAAAGAGAAGACTCTCAAAATGATTATGCAGAGTAAAAGAAGCCAGACCACCCCAAAATTATATTCTTTGTGGTTCCATTTATGTAACACTTGAAAAACACAAATTAATCTAGAGTGATAAACAGAAAATTAATGGTGACCTGGAAAAGACAGTGTATTTTTGGCAGTGAGAAATGAGACAAGGGCACAGGGAAATTTTGGAGATGTATGTGCGTGTACATGCACGTGAAGTTTTAGTACTGGGGATTGAACGCAGCACCTCACTAGTGCTAAGCAAGTTCTCTACCACCGTGATCCATCCCCAGCCCTTCCCATTTTATCCTGGGACAGAATCTCACTAAACTGCCCAAGCTGGCCTGAAACTTGCTATACTGTCACCTCAGCCTTCCAAGCAGTTGGGGTTACAAGTGTCCACCACCATATCTAGTTTATGTCAGCATTTTTAAAATTATATCACTTAAATATGTGCCACTTATTATATGTCAATTGTGCCTCATTTAACTCTTAAAATTTATTAGAAAAAATGCATAACTAGTAAATATCAAAGAACACTATTATTTCTAAAAACGACTGTTAACTTCCATAACAATAAAACTATTATGCTAATGAAAGTTTAATTATGTTAAAGAAAACTTTGGCCTTGTAAAATAACATCTATCCTTTTAAAGGGACATATCTGGTTCTGGAGGTGGCTAAACAAGCACACACCTTTTGGGATGTTAATGACAATAAGAGATGTAAAGGCCCACTTGGAATATTCTTGATTAAAAGATTTCCATTCATCAGCAAAGTTAAAACAGAATAAAATCCTGCTTTTATATCTCATAGATTTAATTTTCTAGAGGGTTAACATCTAAAAACTCTTCCCTTATAAGGGCACATAATGCAAAAATTTTTGCTGAGAAGTATTTTCTAAATAGAATTCTAAACAGAAATCATTTGGCTTGAAAACCTTTAGGTTTTTATAGGACACTTAAGTGAAAAAGGATTGTACTCATTAAATTGAAGAGTTTTCTGCAATTCAAATATTATGCTAATTATCAGTGCACTAGATCCATCTTCTGAAATGTTATTTAGCTACCAAAAATTTTACTGTTAGTTGTTTAACATTATATTTCTTAGACATAAGGATTTTATAATATATTTATATCAACATTTGTCATTATTTTCCAAATACTATTTAAAAATTCAGCAGTTCTTGCCTATTATTTTTTTTAATGATCTTTGAACAAACCTAAATGAACACTTGGTCTTATAAGATAGAGTACTGGAAATTACAGGACATTCATTTTGTAGAGAATGCTATAAGAACCTCTAAATTCTCCACAGTGAATAACTATGAAAATACTTACAGATGAATACATGCAAAGACTACCATTAAATTATTTACAACCACATAGGTACATTAGAGATGCACATAGATATGTAGATTTTTTTCCTTAAAAGGAGTCAAAGCAAAGTGGATTATATATATGTATAAAATGGTTTTGAGTAAGAAAAACAATTAGAACAAAAAGTGAAAAAGCAATTTCTTATAAACATAAAATAATTATATGATTTAACAGAATCAATGGATTTGACAATTCAAGATATTTTATTACAGATTAAAAGAAAAGAATATCTTTAGATTATTTTGGTAGCAACAATTAGTTAAAAGCAAGGTGCCACCAAGGAGAGAGGGTAGAGAGGACGCAAGGCAGAGGCAGCATGAGCTGGCGGTTTTTCCTCTACCTTCTAATATGATACACTCTATTACTCAAATGACACATTCTCCATCACATCATGTTTAGCTCCACTACGGTGGACAGACTTTAAGTGCTCCCTGATCCTAGTGTATGAAGCTTTGTGTAAACTCTGGACACCAGTAACAAAGCAGAGTTATTAGTTATTCAGAATGAGGAATCAATGCAGTAGGCATGACGCATGACAACTGCCTGTAGTAGAGTGCTGCAGGAAACTGGTTAGGTGCTACACCAGGACAGAGAACTCAGGCAAAGATGCATGGGAGTCTAGCGACGAAAGGGTAGGCTGGATTCACAGGGCAGAGCACCCAAGCAAAGAGCTCTCTGGTGAGAAACCCTGGAGCTCAGTTAAGAGTATCCCCAGAGTCTGAGGCTGAATATTTACACATGAGTACAGTGTAAGGTGACTACATGAAGCCAGGAGAAGAATCATCAGGAAGGTTTAGAGGGTGTCCTGGTTTGGGCTTTTTGCAAGATGAACAATACAGAACACATTTTATTAGATCATTTTAGTGAATCACACAAAGAATAATATACAAAGAGTGCAGGTAATCTATCCACATATGAAAGACCAAAAAATCCAGGTGAGAGCCTGGATGCTAATACTCTGCATGAGTCCAGCTGAAAACCTAGAGCCCATAACAATGTCTCACACCCCAACTGGAGGCCTAGTGCCTGCGACAATGTCTCATGCGGGCCTGTTTCACGGATCTGCACTGGGAATGCCCAAAGGTCAGTGTTGGCAGCTAGAAAGTCTGTGCCAGCGGGATGAAGGATCTGTGCCTGCAGGCTGAAGGACCTGAACAGAGGTAGGAAGCAATGTTCATGGTAAGAATCAGAGCTCCCAAAAAATGTACCACAGTCATCCTCAGCTGCAGTGATGTCCCAAGCTCCTCCAATGATGAGGAAAGCCGAGCTCCCATCGGGAAAGCCAATGCGACAAGCTTCTCCAGGAGGCTGAGCAGTGCACCACCTTCCCCTCTAGAGCCAGGAAGTGATGCTCAAGATGAGAACCAGAGCTAACCCAAAGTGAACCACAGCCATTCTCAGTGACAACGAGGTCTCAAGATCCTCCTCTCACAAGAACAACCAAATTTACCAGGAAAGCTAGCATGACTAGGTCTCCTGGCAGAACCAAGTGAACTAGCAGCTTCCAGCAACTTCCGACAGCTTCTCCAGACAGCCTCTCCAGACAGATTCCCTAACAGCCCTTCAACTGCTTCTCCAGTTCTGCCCTTTATGCTTCTGGCAACAATCCTAAAGTGGGCCTCCCACACTCAGCACATCAACACCATGCTCCTCCAATTCAGCTGGATGTAACAAGTTGGCCATGAGCTGGTAATCCATCACAGAGGACTATGCTTGGTGGTACAAATTTGTAATCCCAGAACTCTGGGGAGCTAAAACAGGAAGGTCATGAGTTCAAGCCCAATCTGGGCTAACAGCAACTTAGAAAGACTCTGCCTTAAAAATAAAAAAAAAATTTAAAAAAAAAAAACAATTTAAAAAAAGAACTGTAGCTCAGTGCAAAGGCCTTGGATTCAATTCCAAATAGAATAAATAAATAAGTGGGGAAAGCAATTTTCCACCAATTGGGTTGGAAGTCTCTTAATTCAGTCCTTCTAGGGATTTACCTTAGTAATGGGAAATATTAGTCCTAGATAAAATGCTGTTATGGCCCCACAAACAAAGGTTAAAAGCAATACTAAGACTCAAACTGTTCCTAGGAAAGAGAACAAAGTTCAACAAAGCTTA